CAACTATACATAATAGCACACCGAACATATGAAAGTGTTCACAGATTTTTTCTAGATAAATAATAACTTCATGTTTTTGATAATTTGTTTTCTCTTATTTATTTAATTTGTACTAAGTATTAATAAATTATAAAAATTTATTATCTCTATTTATGATAGTGGCAGTTATCGGTTGTTGGTAATGACATGTAGCTGGTATAAAATCATCTTACTCAATTTTTTATGGTATGGCACTTCGTCCATTATTGATGTTCATTCTTCATTTAATGTTCGATCAATTACTATCTCATTAATCTTACATTAACTTCAAATTCAATTTGTCAAACACATCAGGTGCAGGCATCATCTAATACACTAAATTATATGAAATCTTATCTAGTGTCCTGAAGTCAAATTTTTGTATTTTGGAAGACCACCAAAAACATAATAGTGGCCTACAGGTCAATATTTTCTCACTCCTAGATGAATGAACTTTACCATTCATATTTTGGCATCCTTACCAGAATCACTTCTTGAATTGTTATTAGATGTATGACTATTAATAAACCGGCGAGGAAAAAATTCTATTCAAATTTTTAAATTAAGGAAAAATAACAAATATAAGATTCCTTTGACATTTTTAGATAACCGAATTAAGTAGTAATTTATAGGATACAAGAATTTAAAAATTTGGTAATAATAATTATCAGTAAAATCATGGTTGTTTATCGTCATTTATCTTCCACCTGGAGGTAACATAGAAGTGATACACCTGACTGCTCTTAATTTAATGAATATCTGATAAGAACAAAATATTTATCATATAAAAAATATCATAATTGTGGATTGATGGTTAACTGTAGTGAATTGAAGAGAGTATATGTACTGATATATACATAATAGATAAGATATATACATAATATTTTCTTGAAAAGAGAAGACTGGTTGGGGTTTTCAGTAAAAAAAAATATTAAAAATAAATAGATTATATTTATTTTTATTTTGGCTGACGTAAGCCTACCACAACAATGTCTTGCGGGAATTTTTCGTCTGACCAGCCCTGAACTTTGAGCCAAAACTTCGGCAAAAATAAATATAATTTAAAATTTTTTGTTACTGAACACCCCAACCAATCTTTTCTTTTCAAGAATATATATATATATTGCATACATAAAATTTGTATTCTTAATTCAATAATTATTTCTATTAAAAAGAAATATGTTAGGTGTGTGTGTATATATATATATATATATATATATGTTTAGTTTTATCTCTTTGGAATAACAGTAATTTTATGGTACAGTGAAAGAAAATTTGCTAAAATAATTAACATTTTTGTAAGAACTTTTTAGTTTATTAATAAAATTAGGAAGACAAAAATTTCTTTAAATTATAATACAAAAGAAAAAACACAACTAATTAGACATAAAAAACAACAACTTAAAAATGTAATCTAAACATACAACAGCTGATAGCAAAGCCTTCTTTTAAAAACATATTTTATTTTGTACAAGTTTCTTGCTTTCTGACTTAAATGTTTATTTTTTTATTGATTTATTTCAATATTTAAAATAATTATGGTGTAAAATATTGTTATTTATGGTTTAATACACATGTGGGGATCTAACGCTACAAGTAATTTATTTAGGTTAAGAAAATTTCAAAATTAATGAATTAAGTTGAATAAATGTAGAAGGGTGTGTGAGTCAGTGTATTTACTTATAAATAAAATAGGAAAAACAAATTCTAAATAAATATAGCAGCCTTTCTTATCACTGGAAAACCTTAATGATAAAAAGGTTCATTCCCCACCTACTGTATAATCTGTTTTTACGATAATAATTTTACAATGACTAGGCAGATAAAGCAAGATCTCCAGTGGCACAAACTAACAATTATGCTACATTCCCACAATATTACAAGAGCGAAAATTGCTGAAAAAATACAAACTCATGCCAGAGAAACCTATGTATTTTTAAATCAACCACTTGTGCAATAGCTAGTTGAAAGTGCTTATTGTGGAACAGTCAATTATACAAAATTATCAACAGTATAGTTATATAAAAATCCATTTAACTAACCATAATTTAAGACAATGAAAAAATTAATATTAAGAATATAACTATACTAAATATAGTTTAACATTTTTTTTTTTTTTTTAATTCCATCTTCAGAACACAGAATATTATTTTATTATTCTAGACAAAATAAATAAAACATAATTGCAAATAATACTGACTGATTTTTGATGTTTTCAAATTTCACACTAATCTAAGATTCATGAATAACTTCAACACTTGACTGTTTAGAAAATTTTATATATATCTACGAAATGTATGTACATATAAAAGAAAAAAAAAACGTCTGCTAAGTAAAGTCAGTATAGCTTCCTCACCGTTTTCATTGGCTAAAAAATATCTGTATTACAAGGTCTAAAATTTTTTGTATGGAATTTCTGAATAAAAGGAAACGCCGTTTTCAGAAATTGAGTAATCCCTCAACATATACAGGGTTTGATTTTCACGTGTTTTTTTCATCAGCAAATATTAAAATGCAAAAGAGTTCCGCATTTGCAGATTGCATATTTGATGATTTGTGACTAAAAAAAAATTCCAGTGCATACCGAACATTAATGAATGCAAAAATTGAGTGCTTTACATGAGAGCATAAAAACTAATTGTTTCTGTATGTTTTATTAGTAGAATTTTATATTTAATTGCCCTCTGCTATTTTCCATCATAGCAGACTGCTTATATCAGTTGCAAACTACAAAATATCATCTTTAGCACAAATAGAATAAAAGTTGAAAATGTTGACATATGACCTTTTGCACTAATAGTAGTGATATATACACTTAATAGGTATATTTTCACTTAAAAATGGATGGAACAAAAAATCCAACTTTTTGTTTGTTCAGAGTCAATGAGACCAATACTTTTTTTCAGTCAGAACAAAAATAATTAAGTTGGCATATAAAAATATTTGCGAAGTTCACACAACTTTGATATTTAAGGTGGAAATCGAGACCACGATGAGTTGGTTAAACTTCAATAGAAATAAACACAATCACACATAAGGCTTTTTTTTTTTTGTTTTAGAAACTCAATTAATTTAAATTTACTGAAAATTACACGAAATTTAAGTAACGGCAGTAAGTATAATGCCAGTAACGTTTGGAGTCGACCAAACAATACATTATAAATTAACTTCTTAAATAAAACATAAAATTTTATAACCCCATAAAAATATTGTCTTAACCTAACTCCCATTCCAGATGATCAATGTCTTCCACATTTCACAGCCATTATATTGTTAATATTAATTTTAATTATTAAATGAAATTGATGCTGGGTAATTTCTATACTATTCTCCAAATTTCCTCAAAGTTTGGGTCAAATTGAACGTGCAGTTTTAGAGATATACTAGTATCAAGGAAAACCCGTTTGCGCATATATAAGAAAAAGTAAGGTACAGAATTCAATAAAATTGACACTACATAACTTTTTCACCAATACCTACGTTTTATCCAACTTTGAGCCAAATCGAATTAGCCTTTTCTGAAATATTGGCATACCTAAAAAAATAAGTTTACGCGTGCGTAAGCAGAAGTGATGGGTGGAATTTGATATGGGACCATCTAGGCACCAACATGCACACTTCCCAAAAATTTCATGAAAATCGGATGAACTAGTTGATATGCCCGTCACATTGATTTGATTACAGACAAACCGACAGACAGACACAGAACCAAATTTGATCCTTGATGTGTGAAATGTAAAACGCGAGTGAAAATGTTGGATTATGAGTACATTTTTTTTAATCTCTCACGAATACAATGGTTCCCTACCTTCGATAGTGAGGAAGCAATACCCCTAGGGGTTTTGTTTTGCATTAATAAAATAGTCACATACAAAAATAAAAATAGAAGAAGGAACTATAAGTATTAAAAAGGATGCTAACAATTCAACTGTTAAACATCAGCAGACCTGGGCAAAATGTATTTTAATTATTATTTTTAAATACAGTATATTATAATTACAAAGTATTTTAGGCAGATGATCTGCCAATAAAACTGGAAACCTACTCTATTTGGTATTTTTTTTTTGTTTAATTTAAAACACAAAATAAAATATATTTTTTGTGTTTAAAAAAAAACAAACCTGTACCACTACAACCCATGAAGGGTCTTGGGTTCAGTAGTGTGTGAGGAAGTACTGTTCCTTGCTCTAAAGTTGGGCAAGATTTGACTGAGATCAAGCTTAACTGCCAGGTTTCTGTCCCTCCTTCCCAATTAATTATTTAATTAAGGGTACACATTTAATAGAGACTATCAATCCCACAAGCCAATTAAGATACGCAGAAGCAAACAAAATACATTTAGAGAATAACACGTACCGTATAATGGCGCACAATAAATCCATTACGATCGCGGTGCAATAAGCCAAAAAAAAAAAAAAAAAAAAAAAAAAAAAAAAAAAAAAAAGCGTACACACTTTATAGAGGCTGGATATGCCCCAGAAAGGTCTCCTTACTTTTTTTTTTGTTTAGTATCTTAGAAACAAAATAGAAATACTTTTTTTGTATTTTAAAAAGAAAATACAGCTACAATCTATTTTATATTTTATTTCTTAACATGGAAAATTAAAAAAAAAGTATTTTTTTAAAAATACTGCCCAGGTCTGGACAGAGGCTCCTAGATAACAGGAAGTAAGTTATCTACAGCTATAGTTCTTATGTTTGTTTGCTTTAAATAAGCAATAAAACATGTACAGTTGTCTTTTTTGTTTGTTGTCTGTTTACAAACTTTTATTTCTAATCATTATATTAATAACTTAGAAAAATTGGAAAATTCTAATCAAGATACATTTCTATATACAGATAAATATGCCTTTTAAAGGCACAACAAAGAAGATCTATAAAAATTTTCTAAATTTAAACTGTTTGATTAAAAGATTTTCTAAAAATAAGGAACTAACAACCAGTACGTTCAATATTCTAAAATAATTTAAAAAAAAAGAAGACTCCAAATGGATTAAAAGAAGTCATGGTCCCAAATAGAATCAAGAAATAGTTTGTTTTAAAACTCTAGAGTTATTTAAGTTTCCCAACTGAATAATCTAAAAAAATCTAACGATCCATCACAACTTGAGAACTAATCATACCATCTGATACCTTATCAGGTAATGATGATAAGTAATCGAGGAGAACATCACCACAAATTTTCTAGTAAGTTTTCCGGATCTCTTTTAATTTTTGTATGTACTGATCAGCTTTGTCAAGAGTCGCCAATATTCCATCTTTATTGACAGGGTCAGAGGAGGCTGAGTAGTCAAGATCATTTCCATCTAACGTAGAAAAGGAACCTTCCAATGCCGATATGATTACATCTCCAGCACATACATCCCACTTACTGATCTCTGTATTATGGAGGTAGGCAGTGGCGTTTCCTGTTGCTACCTCCAGTGCCTTATAACCTGAAAAAACATATAGAAATATTTACATCATTAGATAACAAAGTTTACTAATTCCCATAATGTTAACTTAATACAATAATTTCTGTTAAAAGCAGTGATGGTGTAACTCCTGAAATGCTAAAATACATGGGGACGAAAGGAAAAGAAATCTTGTTGCATCTGCCAAACTTGTTGTGGAAGCAGATGAAAATACCGCAGGATTGGGAAGTGGCCATCATTATCCCTATCTTTAAGAAAGTAGATAACAGAGATTGTAACAATCACCGAGGCATATCTCTGTTGAGCGTACCAAGTAAGATTTACTCTAAGATCTTGGAAAAAAGAAGAAGAAAAATCGAAGGATTACTTGAAGAAGAACAATACGGATTTTGAGAAAATTGTAGCACCCAGGATCTTATCTTTACCATACGACAAGTTTTTGAAAAAGTATTGGAGAAAGAAAAGCAAATGTCGGTGTGCTTTGTTGATCTTACAAAGGCCTTCGATCGGGTGAGAAAGTCTGGTATCTTGGAGGCCTTGAGAGAAAAAGGGATTGATCAAGGTCATGTTCTGGCGGTAGAGAGTCTCTACAAGAAATATAGTAAGATTTGCCAACTGCACTTCACAGGAAATCAAGACAACATTTGGAATCCGGCAAGGTTGTAGTCTTAGTCCACTTTTGTTTATACTAGTGATGGACTCAGCAATACGAAGGGCTAAAGGAAAAATGCAGAAATTTCACCTGGGATATGCCAACCTGAGATCGGTGAGCCTCTCAATACTTGCATTCGCTGATGACGTTGTTATTTTTTTGGACAGTGACAGGAATCTTCAGTACAATATTAATAGATTAAAAGAAGAATTGCAGAAGATTAATATGATTATCAATCCTGTAAAAACGAAATTAATGAGGGTTGGGAAGAAGCCTAGGAGAAATAGGTGCGTCATCAGAGTCGAAGACAAAATCCTCGAGCAGGTAGAAAAATTCAAATACTTGGACGCACACCTTAATGAAAATGGATACATCAATTCAGAGGTGACTGAGCGAATCGCTGCTGTGAGCAGGATGTTTGAAGCAGTTAAGAAAGGTTTTCTAAACAGGCGCGAGGTGGAAAAGAAAACAAAAGTAGCTGTTTTCAGATCTCTTAAGTACTCTTAAGAATCATGGACGCTGACAAAGAAACATCGATCAAGGATACAAGCGTCAGAAATTCGATTCCTCCGAAAGATTGAGGGGAAAACGAGAAGAAATATAGTATGCAACACCACCATCAGGTCGAACCTCAATATTAAGCCGGCCCAATGATGTGATTGAGGAGAATCGACTGAGATGGCTAGGACATCTTCTGCGGATGGAACCAAACAGAATAGCTAGCGAAACCTATCGATCTAAAGTAGACGGCAAGAGAGGAAGAGGACGGCTTAGAAGGAAATGGGAATATGAGGTAAAGAGCGATTTCCAGAGAAGAGGTCTACAATGGAACAATAGAAGGCGTCTTGTTGAAGACCGGCAGAGCTGGAAAAGGCTCTATAAACTTCCTCCTCACACTGCTTAATGCGGTTCAAGAGGATGGATTATGATGAAAAAGTAGAGAAAATAGTGAAGATTGTGTGATGCGGGCAACAGATTTTGTTACTTTCACTTAGTTTTCTTTTTTCTCTCTCATTCACTCCTTTCTGACACCAGGATGTGAACCCGTAATCTTACATTGGAAATTGAATAGGTGTAACTTTGTTAATAGTTGTCCAGAATGAACAATTTTTATAAAGTTTCGTGGGGAAATTCATTACCTTTAAAAAAAACAGCCTTGACCCGATCGCAATACTTTCCTTACCTAGCATAAAAAGTAACTTTTTTTCCTATATTTTCTCGAGAATTTAGTCCATATACAAAAATTGAAGAACAATTATTAGAACATTACAGGAAAGTTTCATCAAAATCAATAGAGCCGTTTTCGCGCTAATCTATAGCAAAACATGTTTTTAATTTATTTCGCATGGAGCGTCCAATTTGTGTCACAGGCATCAGTAGTCTGATGGATATCCAAGGCGAGAATTCTTGAGCAGAGATACTAGTAATAAAAATAAAAAGAAAGTGTAAGTTTAAAAACTTGCTAGCTTTCTAATACTAAAAACAGCTATCATTCAAGGGAAGTCAATAATTTATTTATTTAAAGAAAGTATAAATGTATAGAATGAGACTTAGAAACTTACCTGCTCCTCCTGCAGGAACGATTCCTGTATCTTCCCCGAATACATCCTGAACTAATTCCTTCACCTTCCCGGCATGAGATTTGGATATCATTACCACCTTCTTGTCACTCTAATAAAAAATAATCGAATAAAATAAATAAGTTTCCAACAAGCTACTGATAACTACATCACTCTGAAAAAATTAAGTAATAGATAGGAATGAAATTCCAGTATGGTACCTGGACACAAGATCACAATGTTGATGAAATCCCAACACATTCCAAAAATAACATTAGTATTGACAATCCTGTGTCAGAGAAAAATTGTGTCAAAAAGGCTAAATTGGGATTATTAGAATTATTACTGCTAAGGTAGATCAAGACTATTAAACATAAGTTGTTCGACAGTTAAGTGAATCCTCAACAGTTCCTTTTCATTTGAGGACAGAGCCTTAATAAAAAGCAGTCCTTGTCAGTGGAAATGGATTGTCGTTAAGTGTTTGATGACAAACTAAAGAAAAGGAACTATCTTTTCTGTCAAGGACCCTTGTTAAGAATTCAACTTCAACTAAAAGGATTTATTGCCGGTTTGGTTATCTCTTGAGCAAGCGAAAGTTGTCAGTTCTGATCTGTTTTAACCAGTAATAATTTTAATTGCAACTAATGATATCAATAAATCAGACTATAACTCAAAAATTCAGATGAAAAGATCAGATTATTCACATTCGCCCTCTTTTTGAGGCAATCAGTTGCTTTCAGAATAATATCTAAAGTTACTTTAATAAAAAAAAACGTTGTTTTCCTATATATTCTTTTATTTTTCACTTTAGTGCAACTGGTCTCAGTCTTTTATCTCTCCAGCTTGTCAAATGAGGACTGACCACTGATCACTGCTTGTCAAAGGTGTCCTCATTTGACAAGCAGGAGAGGAGGACCACCATCAGTTAGCCTATCGAACGAAACCGGTTAGCCTGAAAGAACGAAGCCGGTTGAGCAAAAGTGAAAAATAAAGAAATATATAGGAAGACATCTTTTTTATTAAATTAAATTTTAATCCTGTAACATCAAGCGACAATTAAAGAATATCTAAAGTGTGATCTTGTGCCCAGTTGCCACAGTGCAACAATACTTTTGGACTAGCACCAAAAATAGCAATACCTTAGGCTTATTATGGTTAAGGTGCTTAGACATTCCAATATGAATCCAGGCCCATGTTGTTCTGGGTTCAGGTCCGAATGGCTTATGAATAACACCAATGATAGGATTTCCCTGATAAGCAACACACACCATTGTAGTTACATATTGGTATAGGCCCTCTACAAATAAGAAAATACGGCATAATTATAATTTTCTTAGAAAAAGAATATACATACAAGATACACAACTCTTTAATTGCCTGTATATTCTTTTGTAGCATCCAAAGGGTCTATCCAAACTGTTACATGTTCAGAATTTGCTTCAAAATCAGCTAAATTTTCAATACCTGTGGTTTTTTCTAATTGGTCGATTTCCATAGGTGGCAAATGCTGACATTCATTTTCACCTTTTTTCTCCTCACTAATCACCTAAGAGGAAGAGTGCATTAAAAAAATACAATTCACTCTATAATATTGATATTGAACATTGAATGTATTTTGAAATACCTTCACAGAAGGAAAAGTATTTTTAATGCCATAATACATGACACAGTGAGATTTATAATCTGCATTAGTGACAGGAACTTTAACTCCTTCTTTTGTCTCCCCTTTACTCTCTTCCTTTAAATTGGCTTGATTAATCACTTTGATAACTTCCCAACCACCTTTTTCGGCTGCTTCTATTGACACTAGAAGAAGTCTCCTCAGGTTGACTTTGGCAGAAGCTGAGTCAAAAGGACTAACACTTCTTGGTGACATGTATAGTATCATAACTATTATAATTCCACAAACCACAGCAACTCCTATTTTATTTAATCTAACAGTTCCTCCTAAATGCATAATGAAAGAGGCAAGAAAGACAGTCAAAAATAAAAAAAATGCAACTAGATATGCATTCTAACAGTTATTATATAATAGGCAAGTTTAAAAAAATTAACCCATCTCATAAAACGTAAACTAAACAATAACAATTAGTTTTTAAAATCCCGTGGATCTCACGGCGAAGGTTAACACACTCAGTGCCCACACAGCTGTCACCAATGGCAGCTGATCGCATAAAAATATTACAAGTTCTTCACTTCAGAGATGCACTTAACATGACGTACCAAATCATTTCGTAACAAAAGTTTGGAGGAAAAATCGTGCGGAGCTTGTACCTCGGGGAAGAATGAAGTGTCTTATCGGTTTAATTTAAAAAAGTTGTTAAACTTTATCGTTTCAAGTGATATGTATTAGCGAATAGACAAAGGGAACCCAGCCGATTCTAAAATGGCAAGATTGACACCGTCTGAGGTATGAATTTATATTGTTATTGTTTTGTCTTATTATGTAAGAGAAGCCAGTTCCCAGTACTTTTTGTATAATGTTTACTAAGCGCTTATAACCTAATTATTTTTCCAATAATTTTTGCATTTATCAAGAAATACTATTCACTGCACCTACTTTACCGGCATATTTAACGTTTAGCATTTGATTTCCGTGCTTATATTTATTTAAGTTTAGAGTTTATTAGTTAAACTATAAGACAATCTATTCAAAAGTTGTGTTTATACATATGTTGTCTGTTGTTTCAAATTTGTATTTAATTTTTCTCTCTTAATTTCGTTGAATCATAAGTTTTATGATAACACAATTATCAGAATGATTAATTATTGATACTGCCAAATTATTATTAACTATCATTATAGTGAATGGCACGCTTATATTAGTTATATATCATTCTTTGTATGTGATGTATTTTTTAATACTTTTACTTTTTTTTTTTTATTATTTACACAGCATTTCTGAAATGTAGAAGCACAATGCCATTAGCAGTGCTCTGATTATTTTGTTTTAAAGAAATGTTTTTCCACATCGAGACTTTTTGTTTATAATGATTTATTCATTTTATTTAGCAAAATATTATATTATATTTGTTGAAATAGCAGTAATCTTAATATTTACTTATTGAGAATTTTATCTGATAAGGGAATCTATTCTAATCCTGATAAAAGTTTCTATAGTTTAATCATCAGCATGTAACTTCTGTTTTATTCTTTGTTTATATTATCAATGATTTGACCGTGACATTATTATAAATTTATATTTATGTTTATTATTTATAATTTCAAAGTTAACACAAATATAAATGACATTTATATCATAATATTATCTAATTTTAGAAAAGTTTATATCTAAGACAATATTAACTAAGAGGATCTATTTTCTTAATCAATTATACAATTAGAGACCATTTTATTTTAACAGCGAGAACATTTGATCCATTTGCCTTATCAAGAATATTTCTCCAATCCTTAATTTTATATTATTAAAATTGTTGAAATATTGTTTTTTTCGTGTTATTCTACAGAGTGCTATATTATGCTTTTGATATAAAGTGTCTGTTGAATCATTGAATTTATAATAATTTCTTATATAATAGAAAAAAAATCAAAACAATAATTTTTGACTCAGTTTTTCAAAATTTGTAAATGTTATTTATGTTTATTGAATAATTATAGTAAAAAAAGTTTTATATTAATCAGCAAAAAATTCAAGTTATCCAATAATTTGTGTTATTTAGAGTTGACTGTATTAAGTACGTATATATTTTTTTCTCAAAACAATGAAAAATCTCTTTTTTGTGTTGCTAGAAAAAGAAGAATCTATGGAAATTTTGAAATATTTAAAGATTTCTATGTTGTTTTAAAATATGGTTAATATTTATTTATTATTTGTGTTGATCTCAGAAGTAATATGTTTACAAATTGACTCGACATAATTGCATATTAAGAGGTTCATATGATCAGCTTTAATGCTGTATTCGAACTTAATAAACATTTCTTATCAATATTTATAGAGTTTATAGTATTATAATATTTTTTAAACAATACTATACGGGTAATTAGGAGTGATGGATTTCTTGCTAAATTTTTGTGAGATTTTTGTTATTTGATATTTATTATTGAGATTTTCAAAGTATCTACTAAATATTTTTCAATGAACTTCCTTAAAATTTGGCCATTTATATGAGAATTGATATTAATAATAATAATAATATTTATTACTTTGAATTGATGTTAATTAAGAAATGGAATATTGTATTGTTAATTAAAATAGAATAGATACAAATATTGATTCTTTAATAATGTATTTTATTATTATTATGATTTTCATTATTTGAACAATACATATTTTTGGTAGATATAGAAAATATTTGTAATTAAAGTTTTAGAAATTAACATATGTCATTAATTCTTTAAAATTTTATTGAATTTTTAAGTTTATCTAAATATTTTAATTATTGTTATTATTAATTATTCAATTCTTTCCTTACTGTTGGTAGACAATTATTCATTGCTAAAAATAAATAAAAATGTCTATTTATTAAGAAATACATATGTTTTTATTTTTATTGTGGAAGGAGAGGACCAAATGACTTCGCTGTGGTTAAATTTATAATAGTGTCATATCAGCTCTGATGTAGGAAAATAAATAATGCAATTAAGAGTCATACTTCCCGCCTCATCTCCCTGTAAATTAATCAACCATATTTGGATACAGGCCCTGATTTGATGATAAGTTTTATCATTATTTAAAATGTCTTATAGAATAGAAACATTTCAACGTAGTACAAGTAGTCTGATTATTTGAAGAATCATAATGAAAGATTTTATTTATTTTAATGTCATTATTTAATGATTAATTAAATTATATGTTTTATTTATTTCCATCTCATGTGGAAAGTCTTTTAGTCAAATCTTTTGAAGTAATATTTATTGTTATATGGTGTTTTTTAACATTTGTTCCATTTCAACAAATTAATAAGTACATTAGGATTTTTAGCAGTACACTAATACTCCTGTGTTTAAAAAAAAAAATTTTTTTTTGCTAGTTTATGCCAGTATCAAAAACATTAACTAGTCTGTTTAGACTTTCCTAGGGGGCGCCAATAGGAGTTTACTATTGATAAGGCTGTAGTGAGTAGGGGACTTTTATTTTATTGGTTTAGTTGTAAAGGGAGAAGAATTCAACTTTTGCTCTCCTGATATCTATTCATTATTTAATAATTCGGGCTTTTAATTTGTCTAAGTTTTATTTTCTTTCAATATATATGTGCATCTAATTAAGAAACTATTATAGTTTTTTTATATGAAGTTTCTAGAGTAGTTTATTTTGGATTAATTATAAGTTTGTCTGCAATAGTTTTTCTGTTTTTACACTACTTTCTAATTGTTTTACTGAATACAATAATATGTTTAGTAACATATAAACTTATATATAACTGGATCTCTTGGAGTTATTCATAGAAGTAATTTTACTTTTCGTGACATGATGAAAAAATTTAGCACTCATAAACTTTGTCAATATTAATTATGATTGTAAATTTACATTTTAGAAATGATAAAATAATGAAAACATATGAAAGAATACTTTTCTAGTAGAATCTGTCGAATTAATAATACAATTTAATTGAGCAGTCGTGACAGAAACGATTGGAGTAGGAATCCTGCGACACCTGGTTCCAAAGGTCATGAGTTCAATGCTCTCTTGGATAAACTAATATTTGTTTGATGTTGAACCTATGGGACACTCCCAATCTAGTTGGATAATTTAGTAATCTCTGGATTAGGTTCAGTTGATTCAACTACTGCCACCTCTATTAGAGAGATAACTAATTAGGAAGATTAGGCCGATGCTACAAAGTGAGATTTGGGTAATTGTCAATAATATATTAAAGTTCTCGTTCAATGAAGATTTTCTTTTTTAATTTGCTGTATCATGAAATGTTAGAGATTTGTATAAGGTTTTTAGGTTTAATAATATATTGTAATTTTTATGGGGTTTTATTGTTATAAAATAAGGTGTAAGGTTAATTGTTACTGTTTGTTTCCTGATTAATTGATTTGACCTTAAACGCATTTTATTTCCATCATTATTTTTGTCATTAAATTTTTAAAATGCTATCGTTAATTTTGGTCTGTAAGTCTTGTATAATAGAGCTTAATTTTTTCGTCATTGCTTCGGTAAATTGAAGTACATGCATGATGCAGCTGTGATATATATAATAGGCTGCATTTTTTTTTTTTGTCGCCTTTCACTCACTCAAGAGATTAAGAATCTAATAAGAGGTTTCTTATCTGTTCTAACAGATAACAGTTATATTCATTTTCTTTTTAATTATAACAATTGCTAAACATCCCTTGTGAATAGTGATAATATTAAGAAGAGGTTTTGTAAATGTTGTTCGGAGCTAGAAAAATATCTGTACCATCAAATAATCCATTTTGATTCGATTACACCCTCTAATTGTTTTTTAGTAATCTCTATTACTAATTTTGTAACAGTGGTGGAAATAAGTTTAATGCTGCCACCACATTGCATCAATGCTCAAAGTAACATACAAAATCTAAGGAAAAAACAAAGATAGCCAGAACTAGATCTCAAAAACTCTGTTATTATTGATACAATACAGTATATACACAGTAATATTATAAAATATAATATCAATAATGGAAAATTATTTTATATTTAAATTATAATTATTTTGGAGCTTGTTCTCAGTTGTTTCGTAGTACTCAATTTCTGTTGGTAAAGTTTGATATTTATGATTGCCGTAGTTAGACATTTTGACTACACTGACATATTTCTGTGAGAAAGTTTTTACATGGTTTTATTAGCTGTTTTTCAATGATGGAGGATGGATGTACACCAGTAGAATGTTGATAAGCTCCTAATATTTTCAGTTTATGATGCAACAATTTCACTCAAGAATACCATAATCATTATATTCTCTGTTACGTAATGTCCTTAGTTAGTTATCTAGTCATTGTTTGTCCTTACGTGTACTTTCTGCAACAATGAAGTATGAGTTGTTTTTATATG